GGAAAAAAAAGTGGGGAACAGCCTAGAACTCATTGGCACAGGAGACAACTTCCTGAACAGAACACCAACAGCACAGGCTCTAAGAGCAACAATCAATAAATGGGACCTCATGAAACTGAAAAGCTCCTGTAAAGCAAAAGACACTGTCATCAAAACAAAAAGACAGCCTACAGATTGGGAAAGAATCTTCACCAACCCTTTATCTGACAGAGGGCTAATATCCAGTATATATAAAGAACTAAAGAAGCAGAAAAGCAACAAACCAAGTAATCCAATTAAAAAATGGGGAACAGAGCTAAACAGAGAATTCTCGACAGAGGAACATCGAATGGCAGAGAAACACTTAAAGAAATGCTCAACCTCATTAGCCATTAGGGAAATGCAAATCAAAACGACCCTGAGATTTCACCTTACACCAAGGCCAAGACGAAAAACTCAAGTGATAGCACATGCTGGAGAGGTTGTGGAGAAAAGGGAACCCTCCTCCATTGCTGGTGGGAATGTAAACTAGTACAACCACTTTGGAAGTCAATCTGGTGCTTTCTCAGACAACTAGGAGTAGTGCTACCTCAAGACCCAGCTATACCACTCCTAGGTATATACCCCAAATTTGCTCAAGCACACAACAAGGACATTTGTTCAACCATGTTTGTAGCAGCTTTATTTGTAATAGTCAGAACTTGGAAACAACCCAGATGTCCATCAACGGAGGAATGGATACAGAAATTGTGGTATTTTTACACAATGGAATACTACTCAGCAATCAAAAAGGAGGAAATCATGAAATTTGCAGGCAAGTGGTGGGATCTAGAAAAGATCATTCTGAGTGAAGTATCCCAGAAGGAGAAAGACAAACATGGTATATACTCGCTTATATAGACCTGCAAGATATGATAAACATAATGAAATCTACACACCTAAAGAAGATAATCAAGAAAGTGGACACAGGCAAAGATGATCAATCCTCATTTAGAAAGACAAATGGGATGTGCATTAAACGTATGACAGGAGTCTACCACAAAAGGCATCTGAAAGACTCTACCTAGCAGTGTTTCAAAGCAGACACTAAGACTCATAACCAAAGCCTCGGCAGAGTGCAGGGAATCATATGAAAGAAGGGGAGTTAGTATGATATGGAAAGGATAGGAGCTCTACAAGGACCAAATATATCCAGGCACAGGGTCTTTTCTGAGACTGACACTCAACCAAGGACCATCTATGGATATAACCTAGAACTTCTGCTCGGATGTGGCCCGTGGTAGCTCAGTAACCAAGTAGTTTTCCAAAGTAAGGGAAACAAGGACTATTTCTAACAGGATCTCAAGGGCAGGCTCTTTGACCCCGCCCCCAGGGGAGGAGCAGTCCTGTTAGGCCACAGAGGAGGACTTTGCAGCTAGCCCTGAAGATACCTGATAAAACAGGGTCAAATGAAAGGGGAGGAGGTCCTCCCCTATCAGTGGACTTGGAAAGGGACAGGGAGGAGACCAGGGAGGGAGTGTGGGGTTGGGGAGGGAATGAGGGAGCGGGATACAGCTGGGACACAGAGTTAACAAAACGTAACTAAAATGAAAAATAAAATTAAAAAAAAAAAAAGGAAGTAGGCACACATGGTGCTGGAGAAATAGTTGCTGAGAGTTCTAGTTCAGATTCACAGGCATCAGGAAGAGAAAAACACTGGGCCTGTCTTGGGCTTGGGAAATTTCAAAGTCCACCCCTCAACGAGACAATTCCTCCAACAAGGCCACACCCACTCCAATAAGGCCACACCTCCTAATCCTTCTCCAGTAGTGTCAATCCCTGATGATTAACCAGTCAAATTCATGAGCTTTTGGAGGCCATTCTTATTCAAATCACCACATGGGGGAGAGTATGAGCTATAAATTCAAGTTGCTTCCTGTTTGAGGTCATCATCTATTGACTATAGGTCTAGATATTAACCCTCCAGCTTACCTTATACTGGCTACTATAATTATCATTATCCCAACGGGAGTGAAAGTACTTACCCACCCCCCTTGGAGGTGACATTAAATGACTCTCAGATATACTTGGCCTCTGCATTTTTATTTATAGTAAGTGAACTCACGGGAATTTTCTTAACCAGTTGTTATACATCATAGGCAGAAAGGAGAATACCAAAATAATTTCAGAAAAAATCCAGGTCACAGACACAGCCATTTGGTATTTGTCCTGTGAATTTAGGAACTGAAGTGGGGATTAAAAACTGTAAAGGTGATATATATTAAATTCAATAGTACCTGGATGGAACTTCTCATGCCCTGAATCAGCAGGTTCCCTAGGAGATATCTTCTGGCGTTATGAGCTCCTCCTCCATCTGTGATGGAGTGTTGGAGGGCCTGATATTGTACAAGTCTTGTGAAAAAAAAAAAAAAATTAAAACTGAGCTGCTGTCTTTCATAAACGCATAGGCCATGTTATGCCCTGAAGACAGCATTCTACAGCAACCCCTCCCCTCTCCCCCTACTTCCTTCAATTCTGATAGTTTTCCACCTTACTTGGGATTCTTTGTCTTTGGTTTGTTTTGGATTTTTTGGTTTTGGTTTTGTTTTTTTGTTTTTTTTCCAAGACAGGGTTTCTCTGTGTAGTCTTGGCTGTCCTGGACTCATTTTGTAGACCAGGCTGGCCTCAAACTCACAGAGATCCTCCTGCCTCTGCCTCCCTGAGTGCTGGGATCACAGATTTGCACCACTGTGCCCGGCTCTTGGTTTGGCTTTCAATACAGCTTCTCACTGGATTGCTCAGTTTAGCCTCAAAGTGGCTGCACTCTCCAGAGAACTGGTATCTTAGGCATGTACCACCACACCCAGATGGAACTGAGGATTCTGTTGTGACTAGAGTTTCGGGAGGCTGGCACAGTCTAAGACTGTGGTAGCTGTACCTACACACTAGTCCTCAGAAAGCTGAAGAAGCAAACAAAAAGCACCTTGATTCACCAACAACCCTTTCTTATGATACCTAGCCACAACTCCCTCACTAGACAAAGGCATCAGTCCATTCAGGAGGCAGCTACCACATGACCTAGTCACCTTAAAAACAAAACCTTCTACCACCACCATCACCGCTTCCACCATAACCATTAAATCTCAACATAAGCACCACCATGGACAGACCATGTCCAAACCATTGCAGCAACCCTGCTTGGCTTTTCCTCCCTCAGAATGGATGGAAATTTTGAAAAGCCACAGGCCACAGGCTACATAAGTGCTCTTTTCCTACACTCTGTTGACCATTTGACTAGTAGGATTTTCTCAGAAAGAAATGTACATGGACAAAAGTCACTCCTCAAACGCAAACAGATTCCTCATGAGCAACAAGCTCGGGTGTGACTTACTCTTCCACTCCCACAAGCTCCTTCCCTGCCCAAACCAGGGCAGCCAGGAAGTTCATCCAGAAAGACTTCTGTTTTTTAAAAAAATATTTTATGTACAATGGTGTTTTGCCTGCATGTATGGTGTCTGATCCCCTGGAGCAGGAGTTGCAGACAGTTGTGAGCTGCCATGAGGGTGCTGGGAATTGAACCCACATACTCTGGGGGAGCAGTTCAGTGCTCTAAACCTCTGAGCCATCTTTCCAACACCCCAGAAAGGCTTCTAAGCATGTCTACATGTCCTGGTATTTCCTTTAAGAGAACTGACTAGGATTGAGAGCTTGAAAGAGTTTAAGCTTATCATGGAGAGTCAGTTACCTGTGATACTGGGTACCAGGCAGCAGCGAGGGACAGAGGAGAGCTGAAGGGGTGAGTTTATCATCATGACTAATTCCCCATGTCACCGTCCTAGTCAGTGGCTCAGGTACAGAGCAACAGCAGGTGCTTTTCAAGATTTCAGTAAGTGCGGAGACACTAATCAATTCATGGAGGGTTCCAATGAAGTACTGGGGAGTCTGAGGGTGGCACACACAACCCAGACTGTCTGAAGAGGAGGAGCAGGAGCCACTGCCGGATGTAGGGGTGCCCACCTTTAATCGCAGCATTAGGAGGCAGAGACAGACAAATCTCTGTGAGTATAGTCTTCATAGAGAGTTGCAGGAAGCCGGCAAGGGATTCATAATAAAACCCTGTCCCAGAAAGAAAAACAAAAAAAGAGGAGAAAAGACATGAAAAAAGGACGTGCAGACATACAGGAGAGAACTGGAAACAAAACTAGAAAAGAACTGCATGGGTAGGTGTAATAGTCAGCAGTAAGGGCGTTAGATGTCACTGACTGTATTCTTATCCTGGCTCCTGGAGTTTTATGGGTTAGTGCCAGCTGGGACATACAGCCTTGCGAACTGAACAACTTCTGCTGGTAAACAGCCATTGTTGGACTGGCTGGACCACAGCCTGTTACCCACTCTAAGAAATCAAAATCGTGCGTGCGTGTGTGCTCATTCTTATCATTTCTGTTCCTCTAGGGGACCCTGACTAACACAGTTGCCATCTGAACTGCTGGCAGCAAGGGACCCGTGATGTTGAGCTGTGTCTTCTCCTCAGGCTTTCTGCTCTAGCATGTCTCTAAAGAAAAACGTGTCTAGGTCAGAAAAACGTGTTATAAAGATCAAACTCCCTGGGAAAACTTGGGACATAATGAAACCAAATCCCTGGGTATCTTGGAATCCACAGCCCCAAGAAGTATGAGTTTGAAGTATTTAGCGCTTTCACTAGGGAGCAGCCTTTGTACACTGTGTGTGGGGGAAGAGTGCCTGACTTTTTGGAAGGACTAACCGGGAGCGAGAAGGAACTTCTTTCTAACCTCACCTTGCCAGTCACGGCTTGGAGACAACAGACATTCAGCCTTGCATAGACTCCGCTCTTAGTTGCATTCCCTGTCAGCTACCATGTGGGGGCGGAGGAGGAAGGGAAGAGATGGGGAAGGAAGGAGCGGATCCACCCCCACCTCTGTCACACCCATTAGCCGCTGCCTGTGGCCAGGAGTCCTGTGCGCACGCGCTGAGCTGGCCTCCGCCTCCCTCCCCCACCTCGCTTCCGCTCCTTTCCTCTCCCTCTTGCAGAGTGTTTGGCGTTACCATGGAGTCTGGAGACGCTCCCGGATGCTGTTTGTTGCCAGGGTAACCCAAGCGGCAGAAGGCAACCGTGGCGGCGACTGCACGGCTGCAGGGCTGCGATGGTGACCAACCCAGTGCACGGCCTGCCCTTTCTCCCGGGGTCAAGCTTTCCGGACTGCACGGTGAGGGTCACTCCCAAGGGTCCTGCGCTTGGCGCGCCTCTGCTCTCCTCCATCCCACAGGCTGCGCCGTCTTCGAGCATCCCAGCCTCTGCGGGCTTTGCCCAGCCTCTTGGCAGTCCTCACGGGTCCTCACTGCAGCCCTCACTCTCCTGCCCTTCGACCTGCCTTCTGGTCCGATTACCCTAGGCCGTCTCCAGACCCCGCCTTCTCTTACCTCTCAACTGCATTTTTACCCTACCCAGCGCCTCTCTACCTTCATCCTCCCCTACCTTCTCTCCCCAGCAACTTCATTTCTGACCTGTTTCGTCCTCTTCTGAATCCTCCAGAATGCTGCCAGTCAGCTTCCTTTCCCGTGTGTGTGTGTGTGTGTGTGTGTGTGTGTGTGTGTGTGTGTGTGTGTGTGTGTCCTTTCTGAACTCTTCTTCCTGATGGGTCTTTTCCCTTAGTCCCAGGCCTTCTGAGTTGAGGGTCACTTTTCTCTCCAGCTTCATTCAGCCTTCTTCAGAATTGAATCGCACCTTGGTTTTCTTGCGATTTCTCTTTAAAGCATGCCCATCTTCCTCCTCTGTGCTTTGTATTTCTCCCGTCTCACTTAACTCAACCACACCGACCACTTGGTGCTTTACATTCTTCACATTTTTTTTATAAAGGATTCCTTTTCAGACTCTGTGTGTTTGCGTGTGTGGTGGTGGCGGTGTGTGTGTGTGGGGGGGGAGAGTTGTTTTATCTTACCTGCAGTCCAGACTGGCCTTGAACTTGAAAAGCACTTGCCTCAGCCTCCAGAATGCTTGGGATAAAAGGCATGCCGACACACAGGGTTCCTGTTCAGATTGTGTGTTACTCCTCCCCCCGGCTGGTTTTATTGACTATCTAGATGAAATGAAGTGAAAACAAGTCCAGGGTGGTGCTGCACTGATGGCTAATTTGAGTCTAGCCTGGGCTACATAGCCAGTCCCTGTCTCCAGACAACAGCAAATCCAAACCAAACAGAACAAGAATGGCATGAAAAGAGAGCATAATCCAGGCTGGGAAAGTGGTTTGGAGGATAGGACATTTGCTGCTCACGTGAGAAGAGTATAGTTCAGATCTCTAGAACCCATGTGAACTCAAGCAAGCTGCTTAGCTCTACTGGCCCTTATCAGAGGCAGCCTCCCCATGTCAACTTTAGTCTTTTATATGTGTGCACATATACGCACACACAGGTACACACATGTGCTCAGAACAAACCACCACCACCCTGCCACCATCAAATAAAAACACCTCAGCTCAAAGTCTGGCAGGAACAATAGTTTGGGTTCTTGGTTTCTTTGTGACATAGGTTAACTATGTTAACTATTTGTTATTTATTTTGAGACAGGGTCTCATGCAGCCCATATTAGCTTCGCAATTCCTTCTGTATAGTCTGGGGTGATCTTGAACTGATCCTCTCAGCTCCTGAGTGTAGGATTACAGACAGGTCACCAAAGCCAGAGCTTCTTGAGTGCCAGGCAAACACTCTACCAATTGAGCTACAACCCCAACCCCAGTACTTAAAAGCAAATAGCATTAAAAAAAAAAATCTATCAGAGTCACAGAAATATTCTGAAGAATCAATGTTAAGATTCAGTAGTGCCGATCATAGAGGAGCCCGGTAGTGATTTATATTTGTTTAGTTTAATAATTCAGACTCATATTTCTCTTCACATTTCTTAAGGAAAATTATTTTGTTTACTTATTTTCTAGGGGACATAAATTCCAATTTGAATTGAAAGTGTGAAGAGAGTGTGGATTCTGACTCTCTTCTACTCCTGTATTAAGATATACCATGGTCACTTTTAAAAGCTGCAAGCTCACTGAGTGTGTTTCCTTTTTGTTGTGTTTGTTTGTTTGTTTATTTGTTTGTTTGTCTCTATTTTAGCCAGGCTTGACATTCACTGTGTAACCTAAACTGTCTTCAAATTCACAGTGATCTCCAGCTGGAGTTTCTCAAGTGTGTGAGCTGCTGTGCCTGGACAGCATCATAAATTTTCCATTTCAATGATATATATATATATATATATATATATATATATATGTATGCATACATAATATATTGACATATATAATATTGTAGACATTTTCCTGTGCTGTATGCTGTACTGAATCAGCTTAAGCATTTGGTGACAGTGAATACGGGTTACCCACAAGGCAAGGGTGGAGTTGACTTGGGAGATTATAGAGGTATGGCTAGAAGTGCCAGTCTTTAAATATTCATAAGGAAAGATGATCTATCCTGAATGAACTTCATATAAAGTACACTGAGTGGCTGCCAACTATTCTTAGTTGAAATTTGAAAAGCTTGGTAACTGCCTCTTCCTCAGAGAAGGATTGTTGTTATTCCAAAGACGTGTCAGAAAGTGAACCCTAATGAATAGGAAGGGAGGCCTGAGAATGCCTTTCCTGAGATGCTCCGTGATACAGGTGGCTGAGGCTAGAGGCATCTGTTAACCACAAAGAAAATGAACTGAAGTTACTGATGTTGGTTTCATTTCATATTGTGTGGGCTGGTTTAGTGGGGAGGAGTTGCCATAGAGCATGTGCAGAGGTTGTAATGCAATGTCTGGAGGTCAGTTTTCTCTCTCTATTCTGTGGGTTCCAGGGATCCAATTCAGGCGGTCAGTCTTGGTGTTAATAACCCTTACCTACCAAGCCACCTCCCAGCCCCACCACCCACTTTTGGTGCTGGGAATTGAACCTAGGTCTTTGACCATGCTAACTATGCCATCACCGAGCTACACTCTTAGTCCCTAGTGGTATCGCCTCTGTCTGTCTTTGGAGGTTGCAAAGGTTGCAAAGAGGAACTGGAAGGTAGCACATTGCCCAGCTCAGGGCCTCTTATTCTATGTCTTGTGTTTTATGCATCTGGGACAATTCCTTCCAACTGACCTGTAACCCAGAGCAACAGCCCTTAAAGAAAAGTCTGTGGTCCATATTCTTTTATCAGAAGTAGTCCACACTGCTCTACTTTTTATGGTAATACAGATCTTGAAAGAGGACAGAGATGATAGGAGAGACTCCAAAGAAGTTAGGAGATAGGCAAGGAAGTCTTTCTGTTCATAGTAAAACAAAGTTTATCATTATTTATAAATCATATATACATATTATGTAAACTATAGTACATGTATACAAATTGAAAGTAACCACATAAAGGATATTTTAAAAACCCTGTGAATTAATATAATTTCAATTTTGCTCTTCTCCTTTCTTTAACCTTTTACATTTCCAGTGACAAACAAATGTATATCCATGGCAGAAAATGAACATAATCTAGAAACACATAATTCAAGATCTTTACCAAATCCAGTTTGTATGCTTATAACTGTAGTATATTTATATAATTTTACATGATGCTCTTTGTCTTAATAAATTATAAATACTTTACCAGGTTGTTTCGTGGTATTTAAAACTAGTTTAATTCCTTCATAGAAATTTCTTTTTCCTTTGTTTGTTGTTTAGATTGTTTCCAACATTTAAGTATCACATACCCTCACATATATTTGTCACTGTTATGACCAGAATCAAGCATATTGTTCGTTCCCATAATTTTGGAATGTATTTTAAAAATCAGTGCATAAGGACAGGATCACAGGGTGTTTACATAGTTGCTGGCAAGTTACTTGTCCGAACTTATTTGAATGTATCATTGTCATTGTAATAAGAAGAGCCGCTGATGCAGGTAAAACTAAAATTCGGAAACTCATATCTAAGGTTATGAAAAAGAAAACAAGATTAACAAAAAGAAATTGGAGTATAGATGATATGGTATGGTAGAGGTAAGGGAGATATCACAGAGCAGGGCTGTTTTATTTTAACCTTGAGTGGCTTCTATTTCCTCCTTGCTCCTGACCAAGTGTTTTAGTTTAAAATACAAACCCTTTGAACGCAGTGAAATGCTTTGACATACATTTTTTGGCGGGCGGGGGGGCGCTAAAAGCAAACATTTGATGCTGGGGAGATGGCTCAGCGTTTAAGAACAAGAACTGCTCTTGAAGAGGACCCAGGCTCAATTCCTAGCACCCGCGTTGGGTGTCTCCTAATACTCTCAAAGCAAAAGTTTAAGTTATGGTAACTTAGGAAGTTAGTTGTTTTACTTCATGACTTATCCGAGGTTAGTAACAACATCTTTCTTTTCTTCAGAAAACATCCTTCCACAGAAGCCAGACACTTGGCTACAGGAACGGCTACGCAGTTATCGACCGTCCAACCTTCGGGATAGGCGGAGACCGGCTCCACTATAACCAGCTGTCTCCTGCTGAGTTGGATGAGTTGTCCAACAAGGCACCCTTCTTAACGTACGGTCCACCCAAGCCGCCCCCACCTGCACAGTTTATTCCTGCTCATGTGGCTTTTGACAAAAAGGTATCATCTGGGATTTTAGGGCACCCGTTGACTTCAGAGGTCTGAGGCCCGGTCACTTGCAGAAATGTTATCAGTAAACCCCAGGATTCCCTGAGTGCTCTTAGAGAAAATTGTTCAGATGCCTCAACCCTTAGTCACAGACAGCTGAAGTGAGCCTTGAAAGAGGCTTTCTCTGGGCAGGAAGCAGATTACAGAAAAAAATTCCCTGTGGGCTTTCCCAGAATATTTTCCAAATGCAGTTAAAAGTTGCCTGAATTTTGAATTCCACATTTGTGTGGGCCCGTGTTCGCTTGCTCTGTTTCCCAGTCTGCAACATTGAGCCCCTACCTAATGACTATGAATTGTGAAATCAACATCTCCATCATTTGCCAGTTTTTTTTTTTAAGTTTTCATTCCTTCCTTCATCATTGGTTCTATTTCTATTTCAAACACTCTAGTGACTATTTTTTCTCTAGTAAAGTTCATATTATTACAAAACAACAAGGAAAAAAAAAACCCTTCCCTCTTTTTCTCTAGGAAGAGAATTTTCTCTCATCCTTAGCTCCGAACTGCTTTCTCAGAGATATAACAGTGATGCCTTGTTTGCTGAGTTTGGACAGCCATCCACCGCCCTTGTTCTCCACCCCGGTTCAGCTCCTTATTCTGTTACACTTTCCTTCCCTCCCGGGCTCTGCTCTTTGCTTGTGTTCATGACTATTCACTCTCCTGGTTGCTCACTCCTGTCTCTCTGGTTGCTTTTTCTCTGGTCTCCCTGCCTCCTCTGTTCTCATCCTTGAATGTCCCTTCTTAGGAGATCTCACCCACTCTGTGGATTCAACTGTCTTTTCAGTGCAGAAAACTGTCAGCCTTTATTGTCAACGTGGACCTCACTGATCTGCAGACCCTAGCCATAGGCTGCTCCTGACAGTGGGGTATCCTCAGCTGGACGAGCTGTTCCTCACACATAGACTCTACATTTATATCATCATCATCATCTTATTATTATTATTACTATATTTATTTTTTACTCCCATCATTACCCAATCCAGAGGCCCACTAGATCTGCTCCCTCCATTTGGGTTCTGAGCTTCCATGCTTGGCCATTCAATGAGTTGCCAAGCCAAGTATTTCTCTTTCATTTCCTCCATCATTTTCAAAGTTCAAACAAGCAATATGATCTCTACAAACTCAGAAGGTTAGAACACACTGCCTGGAGCCAAGACCACTGTAGAATTCATTGAAAAGATATATTTTTAAACAGAGTCTATAAATGTTATTTTTTCCTTCCTTTCTACATTATTATCACTTTCTGCTGATGTTACCCTAAACTGTTCCCAGCAGCTTCCTTACAGAGGCTTAGAACTCTATTTTTAATAAGAGGAGGGGAAAATGACTTTGAAAATTAGCAGTCAGTGGGCTGGAGGGTTCAGTGGTTAGGAGCACTGGCTGCTCTTCTAGAGGTTGCAGGTTTACCTTACACCCATGTGGTGGCTCAATACCAAACTGTAACTCCAGTCCCAGGAACCCTGAAATCTTCTGGCCTCCATAGGTCCCAGGCATGAACATAAAATAGTTTAAAAAAATCAACTGTCGAACAAATAGGTACTTCATATAATAGAGTTACGCTTTTATTACAGGCTTTCACCATGTAGCCCAGGCTAGCCTTGAACTTGTAACCTGCTGCCTCTGCCTCCTGAGTGCTAGGACTCCGGGCTTGTGGCACTTTGTCTGGTAGTTAAGAACATTCTTTTACCCAAGACCTCCTACGCGTCTTAGAAATGTCAGAGGAAACCCAAGTGATTTATTGGACAAACTGAAACAATAAACCTTAAAAGGTGAATACATAGACAAGAACAACTGTGGTGCTTTAATGCGTAGATTTTTTTGAGCATTGTTTGTGTTGGTGAACTTGTAACTAACCAGGGAACTTGAGAACTTAATACCTTAGTGAATCAAACAGTCAGTTTCTTAGAGAAATGTTAAATACATCGCATGGTACGGATTTCCTTATAGAATCTAAACATAGGGCTGGAGAGATGGCTCAGTGGTTGGTTAAGAGTGTTTGCTGATCTTCCAGAGGATCTGGATTGGGTTCCCAGCGCCCATGAGAGGATCCTGCACACACACACACACACACACACACACACACACACACACACACACAATAAGAATTTTAGCCTTTCTAAATTTTCACAAATTTTTCTTATAATAACAGTTTATCTGTAGACATGCAAAGGCAGGAGGTTAGTGTCAATCTATACTGAGCATATGCCAGAGGCTAATAAACATTCTTAAGGATTTGAGGGGCTGGAGAGATGGCTCAGCGGTTAAGAACATACGTTGCTCTGGCAGAGGACCTGGGTTTGATTCCCAGGGCTCACATGATGGCTCACAGCCATCTGTAACCCCAGAGCCACGGCGACTCAATGAGCAAACAAGCAAAACACTCATGTCCATAAAGTAAATAGATCTAAAAAGTATTTGCTATCTCCTGTATTTTTAGAAAGTAACAAATCCTAACATTTCTGTTTGTGTGGCCTTTCTAACACACATACATATGCTATGTATCACCTCCCATTCTGAGGCCAAGATCCTGTTGTTACAGGCATGCAGTCATTTTTTAGATTAGCTATCAGATGGTTCGGGAACACGGCTGCGACACCACCTTATCTCTGAGCTCCTTATCTCTGAGCTCACTCCTTTGATAAAGGGGCCTTGTTTCTTCATGATATGAAGGTGTCCCCTGAACATATGTGTATGTCACCCCTTATATTGCTACCTCCCCGATACATAGGCCAAACTAAACACATCAAAAAAACTGCCAATTTTATCTAGTCACACCTCTCTCTATCTGAGGTGCTCATCTTGTCGGTTCTTGCCAGGTTAACAGTAATTCCAGTTTTTTTTTTTGTCTCAAGGATTAAAATGCTGGAGTCACCCTTAGCTATTCATTAAAGAATATTAAACCAACTTCCTTCCCTCAATCCAGTCTGGTTTCCTAAATTACTCCCTATAATATCAGCTTGTAAGCTAATAAGTTCAAATTTCACCTCGCCATGCTCATTGTTAAAGCTGTCTTCTTTTTAAAGCCTTGTTTCTGTTTCTGTGGGATCGGCACTGCATATGCTAGCACTATATTTCCTCAGTTCATCAACTGGTTTCCATCTTCTCCCCACCCCCAACACACACGCACCTCACCATCTCCTTCTGCCCTTCCATTGTGGCCACTCACTATTACAGACCTGTCTGTCCTCCGTCCTCTGCTTATCGCTCCCAAGCTCCCTTCCTCCGACTTTTGCCACCAATGCCTAGAACCCCTTCCCTTTCCTTCTCAACTTAATCTAAAACTTCCTCATACCTCGAATTTAACTATTTGTTGACCACTTTTTCCATACAGCCTCCTTTTCTGAATCACTCCCTGTGGCCCCCATTGTCTAAGAATTGAGGAAGTGTGTGGAGAGGAGGAGAGCGCGGTAGAGTTTCTGTCCCCAGTAATAGCAGTGATGTTGGATTAGCTGTTGGATTCTGGCTTTAATGTTTCATATATTTATAAACCTGTGGTTCATACAGAGCCTGTTTCCTGTGAGTTACTGCACTGGTGTTCTCATTTTGAATTCTTTGCATTTGATCTAAAGTAGTAGTTCAAAATTGTCCTTGTCCGTCTTTATTTTCCTTTCCCATTGATTGTTTCCCTTTCATCTTTCTCCTTGGAATTTTAAGGACTTCTTTCCTTTACATTGATACGTTCGTGCACTTCCTAAGCAGTAGCCAGTTGTTTTTGTTTGTTTTTCTACTTCACTTTTTAATTTATTTATTCACTTTCCATCAAAATCGTAGTCCTATCCCTCTTCTCCTCCCATTCCTATCCCCCCTCCCTCTCCTCCCTATTTCCCCTCCTCTACTCCTCAGATAAGGGGAGCCTCCCCTCTACCAGCATACACAAGCACATAAAGTCTCATCAAGACTTATTGAACCTTCTTCCCCTGTGTCCTGGTGAGGCAGCCCTGCCAGGAAGAAGTGATCAAAAAGCAAAGAACAAAGCCCATGTCAGAGACAGCCCCCTCTCCCCTTTCTAGGGGACCCATATGTTGGCCAAGCTACCCATCATCTATATATAGGTCAGGGGCCTAGGTCAAGTCCATGCAGGGTCCTTGGTTGGTGCTCCATATGCCTCCCTGGCCCCAGGTTAGTTGGCTCTGTTGGTCCTCTTGTGGAGCTCCTGTCCCCTCCCAGTCCTCCCCTCCCCCCCCCCCCCCCCAATTCTTCCACGGGACTCCCTTCGATCCGCCCAATATTTGGCTGTTTCGAAAGGCTGTTGGGTGGAGCCTCTCAGAGGACAGCTAGATTAGTCTCCTATCTGTAAGCATAGCAAAGTATCGTTAATAGGGTCAGGGGTTGGCTGGGTCTCAGGTTGGGCCAGGCATTGGTTGAACATTCCCTCAATCTCTGCTCTATCTTTATCCCTGCATATCTTGTAGGAAGGGTAAATTTTGGGTTGAAGTTTTTGTGGGTGGACTGCTGTTCTCCTCCTTCCCCTAGGAGGAGTCCAGTCTAGTCAGAGGATTGCCTCTTGAGTCTCCATGACACCTGCTATTAAGAGTTTCAGCTAGAGTCAGCCCCATATCCTCCAGGAGCCTGGCCTGTCATGGGTCTCTAGCTCTTCTCAGAGATACCCCAGCCCACAGTTTTTCTTCTCTCCGCAAGCCTTCTGTCTTCCCGCCTCCTCTCTCCAGTCTGATCTACACCCTCATTTCTTCCACTCTCCAATCCTGTTCCCTCTCATCAACCACTTCTCATGTCTATTCTGTTTCCACTTCTGAGTGATATTTAAATATCCTCCCTTGGGTCCTCCTTGTTACTTAGCTTCTTTGGGTCTGTGAACTGTAATATGGCTATCCTGTACTATATGGCTAATATCCACTTATAAGTGAGTATATACTATGTGTGTTTTTCTGGGTCTGGGATACCTCACTCAGGATGACCTTTTGTAGTTCCAACCATTTGCCTGCAATATTCAGGATTTCCTTGTTTTTAACAGCTGAATAGTATTCCATTGTGTAAATGCATCATGATTCTTTACCCATTCTTCAGCTGAGGGACTGTTCTAACTGATTAAGACACAAGTCTTGATTTAAGGATCTTAATTTTCCTCCACTTTTTCTTTAAGTAGAGATTTGCCTACCTAGAACATACTTCTAATGCATTGTCTCTCAGAACAGAAACACCAAAATAAATAAATAAATAAATAAATAAATAAATAAAGTACCAGAAATGGAAAGTAACTCCACAACATGTCAATATATGCTTTTATGGTACAGTTTAATATTTTTTGAATGTGAACTCAATAAGCCATTCTGACTTCACACTGAATGAACCCTCCTCAGAAACCTAAGCTACGGTCGATATAGAACACCCATGCTTCTGAACAAAGTGAGAACATTTATTTTTAGATGCTGTCCAAGGAGTCTATGGTGGGTTACTGTTCAACTCTTCCTCAATTGCGCTCTTCTAAGGACAGTAGCTTGTGTTTCTCTGATGACAATCAAAAGCCTTCTTTTGTGTGTAACAGGTGCTGAAATTTAGCGCCTACTTCCAAGAAGAAGTTCCCTCATCAACGGAGGAGTATTACCGAATCCGCCAAGTGAACATTTACTACTTTCTAGAGGATGACAGCATGTCTGTCATAGAGCCTGTGGTGGAGAACTCTGGGATCCCCCAAGGCAAGCTAATCAAACGCCAGCGCCTAGCCAAGAATGATGTGGGAGATCATTACCACTGGAAAGACCTCAACCGGGGAATTGACCTCACAATCTACGGCAAAACTTTTCGCGTTGTTGACTGTGACCGATTCACACAGGTATCGTTGGTGGGCTGGGACTCTGCAGCAGTATCCTAGCTAGTGGGATACATTTCGTGGGTGGGGACAGACGCTGGTGACTGTGTGTGCATTACTAAGCAGGTTAGTATTTGTGTGAGTGTGCACATGTGTGCCTTTCTTCAGTATAGAGTTATAAACATTCAGAAACCAATGCAAAATTTGTCTTAGTTTTTTTTTAAGTAATTATGTATTCACTTTTAGTGAGTTAGAAAGTTTGGAAACAGTATTCTATGTTAAGTTGGCCTTGGTGCACTTGGCGTGAAACAGAGCAAAAGTTTTGTGAACACATGGTTGGATTAGATACTTATCTTAACACAATGCCTGGGTTTTGCTCCTAAGGACCTAACTTGATTGCTATAATTCATATTTAGAATATTCAGTTATCTTACCATGATGCCTTACAGCTAGCTTAAAATACACACACACACACACACACACACACACACACACACACACACACACTAAATACCTCAGGCACTTATCAGCTATTATCTGCATTTGTAGAGTTGGGTCATTGGAGATAGTACATCTAAGACATGCCTAACCTGTCAACCACTTGTTGGTATCATCACACTAACCTTCCGACTATTATTCACGACTTTAAACCCTTCAGGAAGGTGTTGACATTGATTTTGAAATTTTAGGAATTTTTGGAAAGTCAAGGAATAGAATTAAATCCACCAGAGAAGATGGCTCTGGATCCTTATACCGAGCTCCGGAAAGAACCTATTCGTAAATATGTCACGCCATCAGACTTTGACCAACTGAAGCAATTTCTCACATTTGACAAACAAGTAAGTGACCTAATAGTGTACTCCTATTTGAATGTGGATTTGTGTTGTTTTGATAGCCTGCACGTAATTTAACCATCCGCACATAGTGGTTCCATGTAGGGCCAAAACTATGCCAGTACCTAGATTTCTGTTTTTTAATATATTATTGTTTTATTAGCTCTCATTAGCTTTTGTATGTAAGTGTGTGTTGTGCACGCCACTGCCTACTGGAGAAGGTCAGAGGATGACCTCTGGGCATTGGTTCTCTTATTCCGTCCTGTGGGTCCTGGGGATTGAACTCAGGGTGTCATCTTTGCAGCAAGTTCCTTTACCTAACTGGGCCATCCGCGAGGCCCTCGGCTTTATTATTAGAGCGTAAAGGAGCCTGTGGCACAGGCTTGCCTTGCCTTCAGCCTGATCTTACGGAGGCATTTTCTCCACAGAGGCTCTCTCCTCTCTGATGACTCTAGCTTGTGTCAAAGTTGACATAAGTCCAGTCTGCACACTAACCCCAGATGGGTAATTCTCACAGAAGCTTCCGGGCAGGGTCAGGTGAGTTTGGGAGAAAGTGTAAAGCTGCTACATATTTATTCTGATGCTAAATAGTCTTTAAAATAAAGTAGTTATTAAACAGCAATTAAATAGCCCAGGCTGGCCTCAAATTTGCTATGCACCTCAGGCTGGATTTGAACTCCTGTTTCTCCTGCCTCTGCATCCCGTGTTCTCAGGTTACAGGCATGTACCACCACACCTGGCATTCTCCTGTTACTTTAAATTAAGAGATTACGTCCATCCTATTCCTAGTGGCTGTGTTTTGACGGCGCCAAAAGAAAGATAGGCTGCTTGTGAGAACTTTTTCCACACCAGTTCTAGACACACACTTCACCGGGTATCTTTGCTAGCGTGCATCAATTCCCTTTGTAGGCAGCCCCACTATTCTTTTTATCCAGCTTCTCTTTCCCTGACTAATATTTGGGGACTAAGTAAGATTTTCTGTCTTGGCCAAACTTAGAACTCTTGTGTTATTCTCTTCTCTAACTTTTGTGTTATTCTCTTCCTCTCTCTCTCTCTCTCTCTCTCTCTCTCTCTGGCTGTTTATATGTAGTACATGGTTTTTGAATATTTGTGTATTCTCGATTTATTTTCTAATTTCCTACCTGAAAGTGATTCAGCGACCATTCATCTTTGTGTGATAGACACGCGACAAAGCAGCGAAGTTAAAACTCTGCTTCAGAAATCTTAAGTCATCTCTTTGGACTCCTCAAAGGTCCTTCGGTTCTATACGATCTGGGACGACACGGACAGCTTGTTTGGGGAATGCCGGCATTACATCATTCACTACTACCTCATGGACGACACGGTGGAGATTCGGGAGGTCCACGAACGGAACAACGGGAGAGATCCGTTCCCACTCCTCATGAACCGCCAGCGCATGCCCAAAGTTTTGGTGGACAATGCAGGTAAGTTTGAGTAAATGTTTCCGTGGCTACTTGAGAGGTTTTGGGGAATTCGAGGGAGTTAGTGGTTTTTCTTTTGTTCGTGGCCCTGTCAGTGCTTTCTTAGGCTTTAAACAATGGTTTTCCCCACAGTTTTCTGCTATAATTTGCCTTTTAGTCCAGGCATGCCTCCTGGATACTCTGGTAGACATGACTTGTAACAGATAAAAACAAAACAGAACAGGCAACAGGAGATTCATGGAAAGAAACATAGAGCAAGGCTTCTGAACTGAGCCCATGTACTGTTGCCTTCCCTTGTTTTCCTCTGTGGTGCTGGGGATTAAACCCAAGGTCTCATGCATGCCAGAAAAGCGTTTCGCCACTCAGCTATATCCCAGCCCTCTTTCTACCTTTTATTTTGAGACAGGGCCTCACTAAGTTTCCCAAGCTGCCCTTCACCTCCCTCTGCAAGCCCAGCCTGACCTGCATCTTTCACTCCTGCTTCCGTCTCTCACATACCTGGGACTGCAGGCCAGGTTGGCCTGACCTTGAATTCAGTCGCTGCTTCTCAAGTGCTGGGCTTAAAGCTGAGCCCTACCAACGCCCTGCAAGCACTAATCTTAAATGTGTTTCATTGTACGCTTTCCAGCCTTTGATTCTTAGTGCAACTTTTTTTTTTTTTTTTTTTTTTGAGACAGAGTCTCACATTTGACCTTGGCTGGACTGGAGTTTACTGTGTAGCCCAGCACTGTTTTGCCAGTGCTGGGGCTAAAGGTGTACACCACCATGCCCAGCTTTATATCTTAGTTTCTATACAGTAATTAGAAGCAATAAACAAGATTTACACAAAAAGCAAAAGGTTAGATCTTAAGAAGCATTATTGGGCTGTGAAAAAACCAAGTAAAATGAGGTATTGTAACAACATTTGCACAAAGTAAAATCCACTCTCGGTATCCATGGCAGACCTTCATTTAAAAAGCTACACATTAGTGGTATAGGAGTCTGGGGCTGGTTCCTCTGTGGTGATTTTACCCAAACACAGGCAGAAAACGTAAGAGCCTGGTTACAGGCTGGGATCTGTGGCTGACATATCTAGACCTATCTTTACCCTGGGTAGAGACTTGGGGAGGTAGATAACCATTTTTGCATACTCTCTGGTTCATGGTGATCTCAAATAAGCATATCAGAGAAGTAGAAAAACAGGAACAAACCAATAAGAGAGAGAGAGCTCAGAGCAAAATTAAGTGAAACAGATAAAAAAATAAAAATAAACCACAAAGGGCCATTAAAATTGTTTGTTCTCCAAAAAGACAAACAAAATTTGCTGTCTTGTAGCTGGTCTAAGGGAAAAGAGAGGGAAGACTCAGAATCATGGGTGAGAAGGGAGACATCACAACAGACACCACAACAATATGAAAGTTTGCTGCAGGTCTGGAGAGATGACTCAGCAGCTGAGAGTGCTCACTGCCCTTGCAGGGGATCTGAGTTAAGTTCCTAGTGCCCATATTGGGTGACTCACAACTGCCTGTAGGACCCGACACCTCTGATCTCCACAGACACACATACATGCACATAATCAGGAAGAAAATAAATATTTTTAAAAGCTCATTACAGATCATCATGAACACACATGTGCCCCAAACTGGATAATCTAGAGGAGATAGACGGAGTTCTAGACAGTAAAACTTTTTCAAGACGGAATCAGCATAAGAAAAAAATTTAAAGTGATCCAACCAATTACAAGCACCAAGACAGAGTCAGTAGTAAAAAGTCCTTCATTAAAACCATATGACCTTCTCAGGAGTTGCAGAAAAGGAAATGTATAAGATTCAACATCCTTTATTTAGTGATTACTAAATAAATTATATTTAGAGCTTTAATGCAATGTATATCATGTATAATAAACCTGGCATTATACTGAATGAGGAAAAGCTACACTTTTGTCAGTTACAAAAATTAACTCAAAAGGGATTGATGATGTAAATGCAAGACATGAAACAATCAGGGAAAAGTGACTTAAGAAACTGAAAAGGGCAGGATTAAAAACAAACAAGATCCCAAAAGCAGGAAACAAAACCAAAATTATACAAAGGAGATTTATAAAGTTAAAAAGCTTCTATTCCATGAAGGAAACAAAAAAAATGTGATGAGCCAACATAGAGAAGGGGAAAAAAAGCATGAACTAGACTTTTGCAGGGGGTTAGTACACAAAATACCTACAGAACAAAAGAGTACATACTCAATAGCAAAAATAAACAAGCAGCAGACAAACATCAAGTGACCCAGTTAAAAATAGAAAATAGACCTGAATTAGTAGTTATCAAAAACACAGGTCAGGAGCCTATCACAGAGGGCCTCTGAAAGACTCTACCCTGCAGGGTATCAAAGCAGATGCTGAGCCTTATAGCCAAACTTTGGGCAGAGCTCAGGGAATATTATGAAAGAAGTGGGTAAGACCTGGAGAGGACACGAGTTCTACAAGGAGAGCAACAGAACCAAAAATTCTGGGCACAGGGGTCTTTTCTGAGACTGATACTCCAACCAAGGACCATGCATAGAGATAACCTAGAACTCTTGCACAGATGTAGCCCATGGCAGCTCAGTCTCCAAGTGGGTACTCTAGCAATGAGAATAGGGACTGTCTCTGACATGAACTGATTGGCCTGCTCTTCGATCACCACCCTCTGATGGTGGAGCAGCCTTACCAGGCCACAGAGGAAGACAATGCAGCCACTCCTGATGAGACCTGATAGACTAGGATCAGAAGGAAGAGGAGGAAGACCTCCCCTATCAGTGGACTAGGGGAGGGGCATGGGTGTAGAAAAGGGAGGGAGGTTGGAATTGGGAAGGAGGGAGGGAGCTACAGGTGGGAAACAAAGTGAATAACCTAATTAATAAAAATATAAAGAAAAAAAAAAACAAGATATACAAGACCAATAAGATTGCTCTTCAGGTAAATGCGCTTGCCACCAAACCTGACAACTCAAACCTAGTCTCTGAGACCCATGTGGTAGAAGGAGTGAAAGGACTCCCATAAGTTGTCCTTTGACATCTATACATTTACCATGGTATGCATCCCCCCAGATAGATAGATAGATAGATAGATAGATAGATAGATAGATAGATAGATAAATGCTTTTTTTTTTTTTAAAAAAAAAGGACACTTGCCTAACAGTTAGATAAACGTGTATTCAAAATTAGTAATCCTAGTGGGTGCAACACAGCTAACCCCGCCTGTATCCCCAGGGCTGGGTAGTAGGAAGCAGGCAGATTCTCAGAACTCATTGGCCTAGTTAGCTAGTAATCTCCAGAATGGGTGAGACACCTCATCTCAAAAATAAGGTGGAGAGCAATCAAGGGATACATCTGATGTTAACCCCTGGCTCCCATGAGATAGTGCACACACACATGAATGTGCACCTACAAGCATGCATGCAAATATGTACACCTACATACTATACACACACACACATAGAGGAACAGAGAAGTAGAGAGGAAGGATGGGAAGAAATCGGCTAGTGCTACAGCACAACAACATGGCTATAGACCACAAGGACATACGGTATATTTAAAAAAGCTAGGGCAGCTAACACACCTGTGCTAGCCCACAGTGGGCTTGAGGCTTTCAAGGAAAGCCTTTGCTACATAATAAGGCCCTGTCTCAAACAGGACGAGACAAAACCAAACAAAACATGAAAACCAAGAGATTTTGACCATTTTTACTGGAGAGAAATGAAACATCAACACATTTTTTAACCTGATTCAATCACTATATAACATATACATGTATCAAAACGTCTAATGGTACCCATTAATACGTACAGTTTGTGGGGGTTCAACACAGGGTGTCTCTGTGTAACAGCCCTGGCAGACTGTTCTAGAATCAATTTGTAGACCAGTCTGGCCTCAACTTTATAAAGATCCACCTGCCTCTGCCTCCAGGGTGCTGGGTTTAAAGCTGTGTGCTACCACCCCTGGCCAGTACGTACAATTTTTATGTTTTTAATGGATGTGCTGGGAAACTGAAAGGGTTGCTAAGTGAGCATTTACTTATCATAACTTAGAAATTCCGTCTCCCCCCCCCATCCTGCCCTGTTTCTGGGTCCATGCATTTCAGCTCTGGTTATAGTTACGGAACATGGACCCACCAGGGCAGACTGGCTTCTGCGATGTCCATGGAGGCCACGCTTCGTTAAATCCATTTGAAATAAGTTACTGAGTACCGGGCTTATTTCTAAATGCAAGATTTGTCCAGTTATAATTATCTCATTGTCTGTGTCCCTGCGTCATGTGTACGCCTGAGTCAAATATTCTCCTCATAGCAGTGGTGGCGTGGGGGTGGGAGGATGACCCAGTATCTGTGTTATTATTTTATGGTCTATCTCAGCAAACAGACATTTTTCTCCACAAGACAGGAGTTGTTCTTGCACAATTAATTGTGTAACCTCAGTGGCTAGCAGTGCACTTTCTGGACAGGTAGTCCCTAATAGTTGTTGGGTGGGTATAAAATTGGGTGATGAGTTGGAACCAAGTGACTTAGATCCCTTTCAGAACAAACTCTCTTATGTGCTTTATATGACTAAACATTAATTCTGTGGATCTTTGAGGTTTGTGGTGATAGGGACAGGTGGGTGTAGAAGAGAGATTTTCTGAAAAATATCTTGTATAGTATTTATGTATTCTGTCAAAAGATTGAAAAATACAGCCTTATGCCAAATCAGGGGGTACTCAACTCTTAATCAGAGCCAGCCCTTAAGGATACCCAGCTCCTGTGCCAAGCTTTCTTCCTATTGTTTCCTCCTTCTTCTCTCTAACCCCATCTCCTCTTAGAGGACTTCCCTCAGTGTGTGCTGGAAATCTCTGATCAAGAGGTGTTGGAGTGGTACACCGCCAAGGACTTCATCGTGGGGAAGTCTCTCACCATCCTTGGGAGGACCTTCTTCATTTATGACTGTGACCCATTCACCCGCCAGTACTACAAAGAAAAGTTTGGAATGTCCGATTTACCGTGCATCGATGTGAGCAAGCGGGAGCCACCTCCTGTAAAACAGGTAATGGAACAGAAGTGCCGGATGTGCTAAGAAAAAAAATGTAGAAACCGAAGGGAAGAATGCAATAAAAACCGATGACCTCAAGATGATAGAGGCTCACAAAAGAAGACATACAAAGAGCACATCACCATATGAAAAAGGCCACAGTCTAGCGATAATCAGAGTGACAATAAAGAGGTTTTATAATCTGCTCAGTCTTTAAGATTTTCAGTACCTAGTGTTCGTCTCACGAAAAGGCAATTTCCGTATACTGTTGATAGCAAAGTCAGTCAGAATGGCCTTTCTGAAGTGCTGTTTGTTGTCATTTTCATTCTTTAGAATATTGTTTATCTTTGGTCTACAAAATATGCTTTGAGGACTATCAAGGAATACATGCTTTATACAGGATGAAGAATGAGGTTGACAAAATACATCTACCCATACTAGTAGAAAATTGTAAGGCCTGTAAAAGGTGGCGTAAGTGTATGCATATTAATGTGGGAAATGTTCATAGCATATTTTCCGTGAATAAGTATCTACAGTTCTATACATAGCCTCTGCTTATAAAGGCTAAGAAATAGCTGACAAATGGCTGCTATACTTTTTGTGGGCACTGTTTCCCTTTGTGGGAATATGAAGGTAGAAAGTAAGGGGGCGGCCAGAGAACTTCCTTCTGGTGACCTTTGGCAGCTCTCATTTTTACTTTTATAGCAAAGCTTATATTAGTTTTAAAATGTTTTAATTTTTGTTATTGTTGTTGAAACAGGGTTTCTCTGTGTAGCCTTCACTGTCCTGGTCGCTCTGTAGAACAGGCTGGCCTTAAACTCAAAGATCTCCACCTGCCTCTGCTTCCTGAGTGCTAGGATTAAAGGTGTGTAGCACCACCACCCAGCATTTTCCAAGTTCTGAATTATGTTCAAATGCACACAGCATATTATCTTAACTATTTTAAAGTATCTAGTTCAATGGTACTAAATAAAAGTGTATTTTGTAGATCCGAGTAGTTTCCCCACTTCTTTAAAGTCAGTTCGTTTCCCATATCATGAAGGTTTTATGTTTTGTCTTGTTTTTAATGGTGACCATCAAACCTGGGACATTGCACACGGCAGACAAGTATTTTACTACCTAGCTAGAGCTCTGGCTCTGTTAAATTACATAGAAGAGACACTCTGGCATTACAGCCCAACATTATAATAACACTTACTCTTAGATTAGTTTGCCAGTCCTGATGAGACCTGGTAGACTATGGTCAGATGGAAGGGGAGGAGGACCTCCCTTATATGGGACTGGAGGAGGGGCATAAGACAGTCGTTTAAAGCCATTGTTGAGTACACCTCCCCTATGTCTTTTTCAGAGATAACATTTGTTTGTTTTTCCCTTTAAATGTGCTAATTTCCTAGTTTTTTCATATGTCTTGTAGTTTGTTGATGTTTATTTATTTATTTTCGAGACAAGGTTTGATTACGTAACCCACGTAACCTGTGAATTTGCAATCTTCAGAAGTTGCTTTTGAGTATGTGTTTCTGAGCTGACCTCTAAGAAGACACTCACAGTGACTCTAGCACGACATTACCACCACTAGCCCGGACACTCACAATGACCTTACTCTGACCTAACTCAGAGTGACGTTAACACCAAAACCCTTCGTTTTTCTTGTTTATCTCCAGGAGTTGCCTCCATATAATGGCTATGGGCTGATTGAAGACTCTGCTCAGAATTGCTTTGCTCTCGTCCCCAAAGCTCCCAGAAAAGACATCATTAAAATGCTGACAAATGACAACAAGGTGCTCCGCTACCTGGCTTCACTGGTGAGGCGATTTTTATATACTCAGATGCTGTCTTCTCAGTACGTTGGACAACTGTCCATTTTGTCCATAGGGTGACAGTGTCAGAATCACGCAGTCTCTTCAGGAAAGCTGGGCAGTACTAACTATAGTGCTTCTGAACCAAGACCTAGCTCAATTCCCAACTCCCCATGAGCTGTTCCTAGAGCTATAATGTCTCCCGTCTGTGCCTCAAAATTTGCATCCATTTTGTCTGTTAAGAAACTGCAAATTTCTATAACATATTTGAGTCATGATTGACAGACGTTTCGAGAGTATATTTCCTAAACAGTAGAAACTATGTCTTACCAAATTTTAGCACTTGCTATGATATCTACAAGTTTACGTTTTATATTAAGTATAAAAGTTGAATTATACTAGATTAATACACTGCCTTTTGACACTTAAAAATTATTTTATGTATATGAATGTTTTGCCTACCTGTATGTTTGTGCACAGTAGAAAGCAAAACAAACAAACAAACAAACAAAAAACAAGTTTAACCTGTCTTCCTCCTAGAATGCTGGGAATGGATGTAGTTTACAACCTGGTAATTCTTTACTATCTGTTGATCACAAACTCCACGCATATCCCCTAGAATTTATGTTTTTGTTTCTCTCAGACTCTTTCCCCATAAAACCTCAAGTACTACTTCTAAGTCATAAAACTCATCTTGTGAGAGATATGATTTGCACTTTACAACAGCCTAAGTGACTTCTATGTTGTCTTAGAGCCAAATCTTGACTCCTACAGGCATTGTATTTACCTCCGTCGTTCTGCTTAGACCCTTATTTTGGGAATTGTTGCTAAGTCAACAGAACTCATCTTATGGACAAAGCCATATGCATTTTATAAAGAGCTTCAGCATAAACATGTCTTAAGCTTTGCTGTACTTAGGAAACTGAGTTAATTGTTATCAGAAAACCTTTACCAAAATTATGCTGTACTTAAATATGGCTAAAATAAATAAACTGATGTCAAGCTTTCGAAGTTTTGGGCCAAGCACTAGTATCTAAGGTGGGTGAACAGTCTCTTTGTTGACAACTTTCTGCTGCCCCAAAGCCCTGCAGGGACCCCACAATGTACCACATGTATGCCTGGTGTCCAGGAGGCCAAAAGAGGGTGTTAGATTCTGCAAGTGGAGTTACAGATGGTTGTAAAGGCTGTGAGCCACCACGTGGTTGCTGGAAATTAAACCCAGGTCTTCTGGAAGAACGACCAGTGCTCTTAACTTCCAAGCTATCTTTCTAGCTCTACACACTACCTTTGATATATAGCAAGTGATTTAAAAGCATGAAGCTTAGAAACAAATTTAAGTTCAAAATCAAACTCAAGCTTAAAAGAGATGTGTTTGTTATATTTAAGGGGGTAAAGAAAATAAATAAGGATTTCAACAGAGAATGAAAAACAACTCTCTCCAAAAAAAAAAAAACCAACTAATTTTTTTGAGATGTATGTTGAATATATAGTTTTGAAATATATTTTGAGGATGAAATTGCAAAATAGGTCTCAAAAACAGTTGGTAAAAACTATCCTTTAAACACCTAAAGAAGCTAAGCAAGAAGGAGGTCCCTGGGTAAGATGATCAATCCTCACTCAGAAAGAAAACAGGATGGACATTGGAAGAAGGAGAAAATGGGAAATAGGACAGAAGCCTACCACAGAGGGAGTCTGAAAGACTCTACTCTGCAGTGTATCAAAGCTGAGACTCTTAACCTAATTTTGGGCAGAGTGCAGGGAATCTTATGAAAGAAGTGGGAGATAATGGGACCCAGAGAGGACAGGAGCTCCACAAGGAACCAAAAAATCTGAGTACAGGGGTCTTTTCTGAGACTGATACTCCAACTAAGGACCATGCATGGATATAACTTAGAACCCCTGCACAGATGTAGCCCATGGCAGCTCAGTCTTCAAGTGGATTTCCTAGTAATGGAAACAGGGACTGTCTCTAATATGAACTCAGTGCCTGGCTCTTTGACCACCCCCTCCCCCAAGGGAGGAGCAACCTAGCCAGGCCACAGAGGAGGACAATGTAGCCAGTCCTGAAGAGACCTGATAAGCTAGGGTCAGATGGAAGGGGAGGAGGACCTCCCCTATCAGTGGACTTAGAGAGGGGGATTGAGGAGATGAAAGATGGAGGGTGAGATTGGAAGGGAATGAGGGAGGGGGCTACAGCTGGGATACATAGTGAATAAAATATAAAAAATAAAAATTTAATTAAAAAACCCTATCCTTTACATTTTAAAACAACTCTCTTGAGAAATGGAGATTAAAGGGAATTTTAAAATCATATATACCTATAAACTCTACTGTGAATAGCATACAGAGTGATGAAATGTTGAGAAAATATTCTTACTATTAGGAACAAGGGAGGCAAGCCTGCTAGCACACGTTATGCTCAGCCTTGTTCAGGAGTTTCCAGCTAGAGCTGTGTGAGGGAGAGGGAAACAAAAATAACCCAACAGTCGTTAATACTGGAGCTGTGAGTGGATTCTAAGTGCCTTAGGAGTAGAGAAGGCACCCTCTGCACAGTACTGAGCCCTGCACTGGCAGAAGACCCCTCCCACACTTCCCAGGCCCCTAAGTACTGACCTCTGTGGTCATTTGAATGAGATGTGCCCAGTAAGTCATGAACATTCACATACTTGGTCCCCAGTTGTTGGCATTGTGTGTGTGGGGGGGGGGGTGTTAGGAGGTATAGCCTTGCTGGAGGAAGTGTGCCTCAGCAGATTGGGGATGGAGCTAGAGATGTGATCCCTCTGTAGCTACTCCAGCTGCTGCCCCCTCTACCCCATCATCAGTCCTAATGCTCTAGAACCATGAGCCGAAAGCAGACTCTTCCATAAGTTGCCCTGTTCATGGTGTTTTATCACAGCAACAGAAAAGCCACACAGTCACTCTCTGGAAGGGACATGGCTGTGTGAATAGGTCACTGAATGTCGGAGTCCTTGGACTCTCCAGCAGTGAACCTCACAGCAGAGAGGTGACCCCAGATATCGATCCATTTCCTGATCTGAGGCTCAAGGCTACACAGACTTTTCAGTTGATGAGATCTGCAGGGGTGGAGCTATTTTCCCTGTCAACCTTTTGGCCTCAGTTGAACCTCTTATCACCTGTACTTTTTTGGGTGTTCAACATCCATCTTCCTACTCCCCACAGCTGCTCATTGGAGCTGTCTTTCTCCCTAGAGCTGTGGCAAGGTGACTCAGGCCCCATACTTGTGTCTGTTCCCCGTTCTCAGATCCCTAGATAAGCTCAGTTATTTTTGTTGATGGTGGTTTGTTTTGTTTTGCTTTGTTTTGAGACAGTTTCTTTTTGAAGCATTAGCTGTCCTAGAACTAGCTCTGTAGACCAGGCTGGGCTCAAACTCACAGAGATCCATCTACTTTGCCCACCCACTCCTCGTGCTGGGATTAATGGTGTGCGCCTCCATGTCCCTGTTTTAAAACTATGGATTCAGTGGGATTGATTTAAGTTTGTCTCCATTTAGTTTCATGTTGGCTATAGGCTTGCTGTATATTGCCTTTACTATGTTTAGGTATGTGCCTTGTATCCCTGATCTCTCCAGGACTTTAAAACATGAGGGGGTGTTGGATTTTGCCAAATGTTTTTTCAGAGACTCTACCCTGCAGGTTATTAAAGCAGAGGCTGAGACTCATAGCCAAACTTTGGGCAGAGTGCAGGTAATCTTATGAAAGAAGAGGGAGATAGAAAGACCTGGAGAAGACAGGAGTGACACAAGGAGAGAGAAAAAAAAATCTGTGCACAGGGATCTTTTCTGAGACTGATTCTCCAACCAAGGACCATGCATGGAGATAACCTAGAATCCCTGCGCAGATGTAGCCCATGCCAGCTCAGTGTCTAAGTGGGTGTCCTAGTAATGGGAACAGGGACTGTCTCTGACATGAACTCAGTGGCTAGCTCTTTGACCTCCCCACGCCTGAGCGGGGAGCAGCTTTACCAGGCCACAGAGGAAGACAATGCAGCCAGTCCTGATGATACCTGATAGACTAAGATCAGATGGAAGGGGAGGAGGACCTCCCCTATCAGTGGACTGGGAGAGGGGCATGAGGGGAGAAGACAGGGAGGGTAGATTTGGGAGGCGATGAGGGAGGTAGCTACAGTTGGGATACAAAGTGAATAAACTATAATTAATAATAAATAAATAAATTTTAAAAAATGCTTTAAAAAAATCAAAACAAAACCATGGATTCTCAAAAGTGTGTCCAGCCCTCTGAGCTGGGGAGTCCTCTGTATTGTATTTGAGCCTTCAGGCTGTAGGCTTGTCATGTTTCTGGCTCACCTTCTGGGTGAGGCTCTTCCTCCTGCTGGGGAGCCACGTGACTGGGGCTGTGCTCGGCCCGGTTTCTTCCCATTGCCTTGTCCTTGTGACTCTTTTCTGCATCCTATCACCTCTTTTGTGAGTTGCTGAAGTTCTTCCTTTCTGTATTTGGACTCTCAAATCAACAGTGTAAAGCCATGGCTTCTTAAATATAAACACAAAAACCAGAAGATCTACTAACACGGGGTCTATATTCCCCCAAGGCAGCAATCAACTGAAGTTGAGTTCGGATGGCTTCCCTCACAGGCTTTCCTGGGACAAAGCCTGTCCGTCCCAGCCCAGTCCCTCAATACATGCGTGTTTACATGAACCCAGCTTGGTTTCATTTGCGGGTTCCTGGAAAGCTCATAAACCTTGATCTTCTCTTTTCTTCGTCTTTCTAGGAATCCCCCATCCCAGAAGACAAAGACCGTCGATTTGTCTTCTCCTATTTTCTTGCCAGTGATATGATCAGTATCTTTGAGCCCCCTGTTCGAAATTCTGGTATCATTGGGGGCAAATTCCTGGGCAGGACTAAAGTTATTAAATCATTCTCTCCTGTTGACAACCCCATCTACTATGGACCGAGTGACTTCTACATCGGTGCTGTGGTTGAGGGTAAGCTCAGAGTTTCCTGTTGGCTTGGAAATGGAATCTTTATTGCTGTGACTTGATGCATTCTTTAGCTTTATAAAAGGTCTTTGGCTGTGTTCTGACCAAGATGGTGCTAATACAACTGCATTTCTTAATCCCCTTGCTTACTAATTAAAAGGTAACTTGACTGCACTTGTTGACATTACAGTGTTGCATATATTGGCTCCATTTGTTAAATGTTAACACAAGGAAACCACCATTTACAGCTGTTCAAAATGCACTAGTCTGGCTGGCTGTGATGGTTCACAGCTTTAATCCAGGAACTTTGGAAGCAGAGGCAGAGGCAGGAGGTTCTCTGTGACTTCAAGGCCATCCTGGTCTATAGAGTGAGTTCCAGGACAGCCAGTGCTTTGTAGACATACCTTGTGTCACTGAAACAAAACAAAACATCTTCACTAGTCTGGGTCACAAGGGCTCACCTGTGGATTTATTGCTAGAGGGTTAACGTTATTTTATCCCTGATTGCACGAAAAGCTGACTTAAGTGTGACGTTGCTCTCTCCTCAGTGTTTGGCCATCGGTTCGTCATCCTCGATGCAGATGAGTACGTCCTAAAATACATGGAGAGCAATGCCTCCCAGTACTCCCCGGAAGCCCTCGCCTCAATCGAGAAACTTGTCCAAAAGCAGAATGCTCCCGCACCAGAACCAAAACCAGAACCAGAACAGAAACCAGAAAAGTATGTCTGACTGCCTAGGGTCAGGATTGGGCCCCGGCAGGATATTGAGGAAGCAGTTTCTCTCTGTGTGTACTGTAGGTGTATTTGTACATGTGTGCACAGGTGCGCATGCTTGTTCACTCATGCGCAGAGGCCAGAGGAGACTGCTAACTTGTATCACAGTCTGCCCTATTTCTTTGAGGTAGAGTCTCTCACTGTATCTGGATCTACACTGGTGGCCATCAACCCAGTGGTTCTCCAGTGTCTGTTCCTCACAGCACTGGAGTTGAACTGTAGCCACACCAAGGTTTTTGTGTGTTTGTTTGTTTCATTTGTGTGTGTGTGTGTGTGTGCTGCAACCTGACCTCCCAAACCCACATGCTCACACAGCAAGCATTCTGGCCCACTGAGCCATCTCTGCAGGCCCCTAGAAAGTAATTCTTGTTGAAATAAATGCATAATCATATCTTAGAGTTTCAACTTTCCTTTACCAGATAGAAGTTTTTGGGCAAACCTGGAAGGTTGTTTTAGGCTCAGCATAATAACTACTATCCTAGAAGTTTTCCAGTTTTCATCCTTGTAGCAAATTAATTACTGAATGAACACCTATCATGTCTGCTTCAGATATTATCACTAGGCCAGTGGTCTTAGCAGTAAACAAAGTAGATATGAAATTGCGCTTTCTAGACTGACCTAAACAGGAACTGATAGAGAGTAATACAAGTTTATCATACAGTAAAACCAATGATAATACCATACAAAAAGGAAGAAAGAAAAGATACCATACAAAAAGGAAGAAAATGTAGGTAGCAAGCATTTACAGAGGTTGGCAGTGGTTTGCCCTTGCCTGGCAGAAGGGACGACACCTTAGAGGGCAACACCAAGCAAACCCTTGAGGGAAGGGAGCTCTCTGGGTAGATGTGTACAGGAGCTTTGCAGGGTGTGGGATTGGTGAGCACAGAGGCCTGCCCAGGTAACATGCTCAGCCCAGCATGCTTGAGCAACTTTGAGAAACAGACCAGTGAGAGTACCTGGGAGGAGGAGTGAGAACAGGAGAGATATAGGCTGAAAAGAGAATTAACAAGAACAAACAAAAAACAGGAAGAAAATTAACAAGGAGCTGGATTTCCTAAGATCCACTGGGTACTGGGGAAGATAACAACTTTTCCCCAATGAAGCAGAGATCCATTGTGAATTTCTGAGTAAGAGAATAGCAGGGTTTGTCATGTACTTTTAGAGGACCATCCTGCCTGCCGAGTTAATAAGTCAGTCAGGACCACATGAGGTGGTGCACACCCAATTCTAGCCTTTGTGAGGTAGATGCAGGAGGACCAAGGGTTTCAAGGCCAGCCTTAGCTACATGGGGCACCTGAGGCCAGCCTGAGCAACGTGAGATTGAGAGGCAGTGGAAGGGAAGGGAGAGAGAGATGGGGAGGGAGATTAGAAACAGGCCAGGGAGGGGAAACTTCAGTTTGAATGTACTATATGAAAGAAGAATTAAATAAGTAAGTAGAAATAAAAAAAATATTGTAGGAGATGGCCACTGAGCATGAAGTAAGACAAGTGAGGACATGATCTGATTGGCTGAACCAGTGTGACAAAAGCTAAGTCACCCAGGGGATGTGAGAGAATTTAAGAGTTAAGGAAGATTCTAAGATTGGGGCCTGAGCATCAGGAAGGGCTTACTGTCAACTGAGATGGGGAAGATGGGAGCTGTGTGTAAAGGGGTTTGTTAGGGTGGTGCGGTACAGATTTGGGTTTAGAATATATTTGATATTTAGGAGAAAAAAAAATTGTATCAGATGTATGTTAGCATTACTCCAGAAACAGAGGACTTCAGTGAGGAGAGTGTTCAGCAGGGCTAGATCAGGTAAGAAAACTCAAAAAAAAAAAAAAAAAAGATGCAAAATAGAATGGGATGTGCTCTGGGTAACATGGTGTTTTTGAGGAAGTTTGTTCAGAGGAGGACAGAGAAATGGTGCAGTAGCTGGCAGAGGAGACGCAGCCAGCTGAAAGTTTTGTTTTGTGTTTAGTTTAAGACGGAAAAAAAAAATACAAGCGAAAAATACAAAATACAAAAGCTGGCTGCCTTTGATCCCCGTATCCCAAGAGGCCAAGGCAGAGCTATTACAAATTTGAGGGTATCACAGCCAAGACCCTAGCTCAAACAATAAAAAAGGTGTTGGTGTATGTTAAAGCTCTGTGACAGATGTGTGAGAGATGGGCAGGGTTGCTGCAGTGTGAGAGAGGGCGGACGGGGTTTAGCCAGCAAGTGCAGAGAAATCGGTGCTATGTTAGAAGCATTGTTTATCTAGCGCAATTGTCCTGGAAAAAAAACAAACAAACAAACAAAAAACCCAAAAAAAACGGTAGTCTCAGAACACTCGTCATTTACAAGAATACTGTAGACCTATATAGTTACTTCTCTGCTGCTGTGGTAAAATATACTGGAACTAAGCAACTTAGAGAAGGGTTTCTTTAGGCTTATAGTTCCCGGGGGATAAGTCTATTGTGGGGGTGGGGGAGGCATTGCAGGAAGCAGGAAGCAGGAAGCAGCAGACATGGTGGCAGGAACAGAAGACACATCTTCAAATGTAAGCTCCAAGCAAGAAGAATTAACAGGAAGTGGGACAAAACTCTAAACAATCTCCACCCCTAGTGATGTATGTCCCCCAGCAAGGCTCCACCTCAAAAAGGTTCCACAACCTCCCCAAACAGTGCCACAAGCTGGGGACCAAGTGATCAAATATGTGAACCTATGGGGAACTGTACTAGTCAGGGTTCTCTACAGGAACAGAACTTATAGAATATATATGTATATAAATGTGTGTGTCTGTAGACATATATCCATTATCTATATTACATAGATGTATGGGTGTGTGTGTGTGTGTGTATATATATATATATATATAGAGAGAGAGAGAGAGAGACAGAGAGACAGAGAGACAGAGAGACAGAGAGAGAAGGGGATTTATTAGAATGGCTTACAGAGAGGTTCAGCTAGTCTACCAACAGAATATTCAAGAATCCAGTAATTGTTCAGTTTTTGAGGCTAGCCATCATCTTGGCTTGTCTTCTGTATGTACCAGAATCCCAAAGAACTAGGCTGTAATGCCAGTGAAGGAATAGACTTGTGAGGGAGAGCAAGGTCAGGCACGCAAAGAGAGCAAGCTTCCTTTTTTCAATGACGTTTATGTGGGATGTAAGCAGAAGGTGTGGCCCCGACTGAAGGTCAATCCTACCTCAAAAGATCCAGATTAATTTCCAGGTGGTGATGGCACATGGCTTTATTCCCAGCACTCTGAAGACAGAGGGAGGCAGATTTCTGAGATGGAGGCCAGCCTGGTCTACAGAGTGAGTTCTAGGACAGCTGAGGCTACACAGAGAAACCCCGTCTCAAAACAAAAAAGATACATATTAGAAATGGTTTTTCCAGCCTGGTGCAGAGGTACACAGTAGGAATACCAGCATTCAAGGAGGCAGACGCAGGAGGATCTCTATGAGTTAGAGGCCAGCCTGGTCTACAAAGCAAGTCCAGGACAGCGAAGGCTACACAAGAGAAACCCTGTCTTGAAACAAAACAAAACAAATACAATAAAAAAAATAAATAAAAACAGTCTTCCCACTTCAAATGACTTAACTAAATAATATGGAGTACCCAGCTGCTTGGGTTTTAGTTAATCCCAGATGTTGTCAAGAGTCAACAACCAAAAAAAACAAAACAAAACAAACAAAAAAAAACCCTACATCATAGGGGCACTTCAAACCACTACAGGACCCTAAAGAGAGTTTTTAAAAAACTTTTATTAATTACACTTTATTCACTTTGTATCCCCCCCATAAGCCCTTCCCTCCTCCCCTCCCGATCCCATCCTCCCTCCCCCTTCTTCACAAATGCCCCTCCCCAAGTCCACTGATAGGGGAGGTCCCCTCTCCTTCCTTCTGATCTTAGTCTATCAGATCACATCAGGAGTGGCTGCATTGTCATCTTCTGTGGCCTGGTAAGGCTGCTCCCCACTCAAGGGGAGCTGATCAAAGAGCAGGCCAATCAGTTTATGTCAGAGGCAGTCCCTCTTCCCATTACTATGTAACCCACTTGGACACTAAACTGCCATGGGCTACATTTGTGCAGGGGTTCTAGGTTATCTCCATGCCTGGTACTTTGTTGGAGTATGAGTCTCTGGGAAGTTCCCTGTGTTCAAATTTTCTGGTTCTGTTGCTCTCCATGTGGGGTTCCTGTCCTCTCCAAATCTTACTATTTCCCACTTCTTACATAAGATTCCATGCACTCTGCCCAACAGTTGGCCATAAATCTCAGTGTCTGCTTTGGTGATCTGCAGGGTAGAGCCTTTCAGAGGCCCTCTGTGGCAGGTTCCTAGCTTGTTTCCTGTTTTCTTCTTCTGATGTCCTTCCTCTTTGCCTTTTGGGATTGGGACTGAGCATTTTAGTCAGGGTCCTCTCTCTTGATTAGTTTCTTTAGATGTACAGATTTTAGTAGGTTTATCCTATATTATATGTCTATATGAGTGAGTATATACCATGTGTGTCTTTCTGCTTCTGGTTTCTCTTCAGATCGTATAAATCTTTTGCCTTTTACTAAAGAGAGTTTTTAATCTGTTTATATTTAGCATATTAGAGGAGATAACTGAAAATTAAAAAAATATATTTTTAAAATATATTTAAAATATAAATGTTAACTTGTTTTTGTTTTTTTGAGACAGGGCTGCATGTATTCTGGCTAGTTTTGAAATAAATATGTATCTGAGGCTGACCTAGAATTATTATCCTCCTGCCTCTACCTCCTGGTTTTATGTGATGCTGGAATGGAATCCAGGACCTCACACATGCTAGTCAAGCACACTATGAACTGAGCCACAAAGAGAGAACAGTTTTTGCAGAAACCATGTTTTCTGTTTTCCAAACAAAGGCAATTATTGGGAAGAACTATATTTTACTTCAGAGGAGACAGCCAAATTTTTAATGCTATTAAACTCAGCCTGGAAAAGCATCATTTATTGTGT